TGTAGGCGCTAATATGTGTTACATGTCAACCGCCGTACTGAGGGCTTCTCCTTTGCATCTCAAGTCCTCGTCATCATTGCTCTCTGCGCCGCGCCGTTCCAGGCTAAATTGCGTGTTAGGTTCCCCTCTTAACTCGACTAATTAAGGTGCTGTCTCTTGTATCACCGAAAGACGACAAAATTAGAAATTACTAAACTGTCAATAAATTAGTGATTTTTCTGCCTTTTCTCGTTTGTAATTTTTTTTTCTGGTGGTTGTAATGGTGGTTTACAGGGGAGGAGAAGGTCAAAAAGTCGGCCAAAACGGCTTAAGACATGATAAGATATGATGGCGTAGTATAATTTTCTTTCATCTGATATCTGTATCGGCGTTCAAGACATAAGTCATTAAACGCGTAACTAACGAGTAAGAAGATCAGACAGTAGGGTTATGGCTTGTTCTGGGATCTTTTCAGGTCACGGACGCACCTGTTTTTTTTTTTGCTGTTGCGAATTTTTTTAGCAGGTTTCCCCACTCTGAATCCAAGAGCGCGCCTGACAAGCTCTCTCGGAAAGCTCTCTCGTATCACATTACATACAAAACAGCCGGAAAAATTGGGATTCCTGATGAAATTTGACGGTATGTCCACGAGTCATGATGTCAATCACATGAATGATGGAGGAAGGGCCTACACACGCGATGTTAAAAAAAGGTAAAAAGTGAATTGATGGCTTGTCTGGTATGAGTACGCACGCTTGTTGCATCGTTGCCTCATTTTTCATCAAGTTTTGAACATTCGGACCGCGTTGTGCAGAAAGGAACCTAGTAATATCAGCTATTGCCAAATTTAACCGGGCAATTTCATTTTATACATGAGAACGGTTGTGCGGATTTCTGTGCAAATTTCAGTGAATTTTCTGCTTAGTTCGAGGCAAATTCCGTTAAAATTTCAAAGAAATCCGCTCAAACGTTCTCTTGTATAAAATTAAATGGTTCAGTTCAATTTGGCAATAACTGATGTGGCTTGATTCCTTTCTGCCAAACGCGGTCTATTTGTTCGCGGTTAGAATGTTGAAGCCGGGATTCAACAATTTTGATGGCATGCGTGAGAAAAAAATGGCTGAATCACGATATCTGATTTCTCGGTGCTTTTAGATACCAATTTCAGAGCGCGTAATGTTTTTCCTCATGCGCGATTCCATTTTCGCAAAATGGGTTGAATGTTGTCAATTTTTCGGAAGAAGTCCTGCTTTTAAGTCCGCTTGTTGTGCCCATCGTAGTACCATTCTAATGAAGACACATATGAGCCCTTGGACGTTGCCAGTTTTTTTTTCACTACTACAAATACCACACGAGTGGGTGTCCTGTGCTTTCAGTTAGAGCCCCACTTCTCTCAGTCCCCACCATACAACCAGCCCGAGGCAACCGTTGTTTGAGACTATCAAGCTATCGAGTCACCTAGCGAGGAATTGAACCCAAGACCTCCTATTTATAGAGTCAGCGCTACAACCACCACACCATAGGAGGCCGTAGGAGGTTTCGATGAATTAAAATTTAGAATATAATGAATATTTTTCCTCCAATGTTTCAGAAAATTCTATTTGCAATTTAATCTAAATTATCTGCTAATCTGCTAAATTATCTGCTAATGCAAGTTAGAGTGTGCAGGGGACTCTCTTGCGGCAGTGATCATCATTTCCTCCGAGCAGATATAGCGTTTCCCGTTAAAGGGATTAAAGGTAAAGAGCCAATGCCTGAGCAACAGCAGAGTCAGGGAACGCAAAATCATGAAGTATGGTATAACATCGAAAGTTTGGAGCACCCTAGTGTCAAGGCTCTGTATATCGGAAACGCTTAGATGAGAAGCTGGGGGATGGACTCTCGGGTACCACGGAAGAGCAATATCAGTTCATCAAAGATTGTATCCACTCTGCAGCGAAAGAAGCCCTAGGTGTTCACAAAACCAGTAATAAATACCAGCATCCTTACTGGTGGGATGAAGAAATTGAAGACGAGATAAATCTTAAGAGGCAAAAACACCTTATATTTCTGTCGTCTAAAAAGACTGAATATAAAGTTGCTTACAGGAAAGCTCAGTCTAAAGTTAGGAGCCTCATAACACGGAAGAAGAATGAAGCTTGGGAAAGCAACTGTTCTAGAATTAACACCTACCTAGGGGGGAGAAAAAGTGCTGAGAGCTGGAAGTTAATTAAAGGTTTACGTAGAGACATGAAGCGCGACATCGTTTCTCCGATATCACTTAAAAAACTGGAGGATCATTTTAAAGATCTTTTGACGGAAAGGCGCCCAGAGTTTCGAGACAACAGCACGGACAACGGAAGAATGAACAACTTGGAGAT